CCCACCCTACCCTCACCCCCGCCAAAAAAAAGAAAGAAAGAAAGAAGAGGAAAAAATCAAGGAAAGAAGGAAGGATGGGGCTGGGAAGGTGGCTCAGTGGTAGAGTGCTTGCCTTGCATGCATGAGGCCCTGGGTTCGATTCCTCAGCACTACATAAGCAGAAAAAGCTGGAAGTGGCGCTTTGGCTTAAGTGGTAGGGTGCTAGCCTTGAGCTGAAGAGCTGAAGGATAGTGCTCAGGCCCAGAGCTCAGGCCCCATGACCGACAAAAAAAAAAAAGGAAAGAAGGAAGGATGGAGAAAAAGTACGCTAAGGGTGAATGCCTGTAGTCCTAGCATTCAAGAGGTTGAGACAGGATGGTTAGCAGTGGAGGCCAACCTGGACTACATAGTGAAATGGACCCCATCTCCCCTCCCCTGCCAGTGTCCCTGGGTCTGTTTAAAATTAGGTGGTTATGCTGCAACTCCCTTTGAAACTGCAGAGGTAAACATGGGAAATATTTCAAACCTTGAGAAGCACCTACAGAACCCACAGAAGGTTCCACACTACAAAGATAAACCAGAACTATCCAACTTGTGGGTGGGAATGGGAGGGAAAACCTGGGAGAGCACTAGGGAAGGGGTGACATTGTCTAAAAGGAAATGTGCTCTTTACCTGACATATGTAAATGTAACCCTTTGTATATCACCTTTATAATGACAATAAAAATTTTAAAAAATTAAAAAAGATTAACCAGAGCTGGGCGCTGGTGGCTCAGGCCTATAATCCTAGCTACTCAGGAGGCTGAGATCTGAGGATCGCCATTCAAAGCCAGCCTGAGAAGGAAAGTCCGTGAGACTCTTATCTCCAATTACCCATCAGAAAATGGAAAGTGGCGCTGTGTCCCAAGTGGTAGAGCCCTAGCCTTGAGCTGAAGAGATGAAAGATAGTGTCCAGGCCCAGAGTTCAAGACCCCTAACCTACCAAAATAAAATAATAAAAATAAATAAAAAGGTTAACCAGGGCTGGGAAGGTGGCTCAGTGGTAGAGCACTTGCCTTGCATGCATGAGGCCCTGGGTTCGATTCCTCAGCACCACATAAGCAAAAAGATAAAAGCCAGAAGTGGCACGGTGGCTCAAATGGTAGAGCACTAGCCTTGAGCTGAAGAGCTGAGGGACAGCGCCCAGGCCCAGAGTTCAGGCCGCAGGACAGGAACCCCCCCACCCCACCCCCCCCCCAAAAAAAAACAAAAAAAAAACCAGACAGGAGGGAGGGGTAGGGCCCCTTCTAGACAGAACTCAATTCCATGGAAGCTCCACAACTCACCACTAGAGGGTGAAAGCACACAGTGAAAACAACATGGAGCCCCTGAAGCAATCACCAATTGTCCAGCCTTGATAGCTTGGAAAGGCGCTATTTCTAGGTGTCTCTGGCAAGAATGCCAAACCTTCTGACATAAATGGGGCAGAGGGGCTCCTGCAAGTACTGGTACCCAGCAGCTTTTGAGGCAGCTGTTCCTAGGAATCAGTGTTTTCTAAGTGCTGTGAGCTGTTTAGACTGAGGCACATTTAAACCTCACAGAAATCCTATAGGATTTCCCATTAAACCCCAGGCTAGGGGGAGATGCATGTAGCCAAGATTCAGCAAGCCTGAGCCCAAGGCTTGAGATTTTCTGATAGGGCTCCCACACTTTTTTTTTGGTGTAAGATAGGGACTTGAACTTGGAACCTGTCACTTTCACTCATTGGCCAGGGCTCTACCAACTGAGCCATGCTTCCAACCCCAAACCACTGACTTCTGTCAAATCTGAGTGATTCACTCAGCTACTGACTGGACAGGAACAGATTGATGCCTAAGCCACAGCTAGCCAGCAGCTTTTATAATACAGGGCAAATTTGTTCATTCTGCTTTACAACTACATATTTAAAAAATTCTCTCACAGTTGAGCAAAATAATACCTGTAATACTAGCTACTTAGGAGGCTGAGATTGGGAGGATAATAGTTTCAGACCATCCTGGAAAGTTCTTAAATCCGATTTTAAACAGTTAAAAAAAAAAAAAAACCCAAAGCCAAAACAGTAGAGGTGTGTTTTGGGGGGGGGGGGGTAAGGGGAAGAGGTGTATGTGCGCCTGTCATCTCTGCTATGCAATGAAAGGTTAAAGTTTGAGGCAGTGACCACTTGTTGCTTGTTTCTGTCTAGCAAAGCAACACGTGGTGGTAATCAAAACAAAACACCTGGTTGATTGTGTGCCTATATAAGTCCTGCAAATCCTTAGCTCGGGGCTCTCCTCCTAGGCTCCACTGTGTTGGAGTGTAGGACGAGGCCGAGCTGCAGCCCGTTTAAATAAAACAGCTGTAGAGTCTGACTCTCAGTGGTCTTCTTGCAGGGGGGGGGGGGGGGTCCTGCGACCATGGCATAACATGCAAGACATTTAAATAGGTGGATTGCAGTCTAGGCTGGTCCTGGGCAAAAAGGAGCAGTGTAAAAAATAACTATAAAAAAGGGCTGGAGAAGCTGGGCGCTGGTGGCTCATGCCTGTAATCCTAGCTACTCAGGAGGCTGAGATCTGAGAATCACGGTTCAAAGCCAGCCCGGGCAGCAAAGGCCGTGAGACCCTTATCTCCAATAAACCACTAGAAAACTGGAAGTCGCGCTGGCTCAAGCAGTAGAGTGCTCGCCTTGAGCTGAAGAGTGCAGGGACAGCACCCAAGCCCAGAGTTCAAGCTCCACTACCGACCAAAATAAAAAGGGCTGGAGGACATGACAAATATATAAGACTCTAGGCATAGTGAGACCAGAGGATACTCTTAGGAGAGAATCACAAAGGCACAATGCCTCTTTGCACTTGATCATATATTTATTGAAAGGAACTCTAGAAAATGGAAACAAGAGGTTTTTTTGTTTCTATTTTTACTTATTTAGTTTGTCAGTCATGGGGCTTGGACTCAGGGCCTAGCCATTGTCCCTGAGTCTTTTTGCTCAAGGCTAATGCTCTTCCACTTTAAGCCACAGCTCCACTTCCAGTTTTCTGGTGGTTAATTGGGAGATAAGCGTCTCTTGGGACTTTCCTGCCCAGGCTGGCTTTGAACCACAATCCTCAGATCTCAGCCTTCTGAGTAGCTAGGATTACAGGTGAGCCACCCAATATCTGGCTTTCTTTTCTGTCTAGTTTATCTGCCTTTGGGAAGGGGGGGGGGCACAGAAATGGAAGGACAAAGGATGAACAAATGCAGCAGTGGTGCAATATTGAAAGACAATATTGAAAATGAACTATATAACTTGTGGGTGGGGAATGGGAGGGAAAAACTGGGAGGGAAGGGGTGACATTGTCCAAAAAGAAATGTACTCATTGCCTGACTTGTGTAACTATACCTCTTCTGTACATCACATTTATAATAACTTTTTTAGAAAGGGCTGGAGGTTGGAAGTGGCGTTATAGCTCAAGTGGTAGAGCGCTCGCCTTGAGCTGAAGAGCTGAGGGACAGCGCCCAGCCCGAGTTCAAGCCCCATGACCGACAAAAAAAAAAAAAAAAAGAAAGGGCTGGAGGTGTGGCTTAGCTGGTAGAGGGAGTGCCTAGTAATCTTAGCTACTTATGAGGAGGCTGAGATCTGAGGATCGTGGCTCAAAGCCAGCTCCAGCAAGAAAGTTCATAAGACTCATCTCCAATTAACCACCAGAAAACTGGAAGTAGTGCTGTGGCTCAAATGGTAGAGTGCTTACCTTGAGCTGAAGAGCTCAGAAAGAGCACCCAGGCCCAGAGTTCAAGCCCCAGGACTGACAAAAAAAAAAACGTTGGGTGCCAGTGGCTCACACCTGTAATTCTAGCTACACAGGAGGCTAAGATCTTAGGATCACAGTTCAGTACCAGCCAGGGGAAGAAAGTCCTTGAGACTCATCGCTAATGAACCATCAAAAAGTTGGAAAAAGAGCTGTGGCTCAAAGTGGTAGCCTTGAGCACAAAAACTGAGACAGTGCTTAGACCCTGAATTCAAGCTCCAGGACCAGCACACATACATCTAAATCACTCACATAGGTTGTATAGAGAGCTCAGTGGTAAAGCACGTACCTAACATGCCTAAGACCCTAGGTTAGGGCTATAGCACCCCACCCCACCTTCTCAAAGGTTCACACACAGTAAAACAGCTCAATGAAAACTGAATTACCTGATAATCTTTATTGAGCAAGTGAAAGTAACCATGAAACAGTGCTTCACTCAGGCAAGGCCTGTTTTAACTGTGTAAGGGCAATGTCCAGCCCCATGCACAACTCAGGCCTCTCCTTAATAAGATGGCACTCTGACCCAATATTTAAACTTGGGCAGAATGATTCTGGAAGGCTTTGAGCCACTGAGGTTCAGATCCTTTTTCTGTGCATTGTGCTCTGCAGTGTGTGACCCCAGCTTATGACTGACATACACGGGCAAAGGCAGGTGTGGGCACTGTCCCAGCTCCTCTGCTTGGCTTCGTGCAACTCAAATTTCCCACTCTGCCTCCCCTCTCAGAACCATCCATGGATGAGAACAGACCACAGAAATTAAACCAAGACTAAGATGCTGGGGGAATCAAAGTTTTCTGATATACAACACAAACATCTGAAACCAAAGGGCAAAAGTGAAACATAGCAGTGAGAGAGGTTATACCAGGCAGTTACACTGCCAATCCAGGAAGATTACAACCCACACAATAAAAATAGAGCTCAGGGGCTCCCTTCCTCCAGAAGATACTTTAATACAGGAAGCAGAATATTACATCCTCCTTGTAGTAAGCACTGTTTGTACTGAACACTTTACTATTTAATGGTGTATCACATCAGCATACTTTTGCAGAAATTAAAAAAGCAGCAAATGAGTATGATGGCAAAAATCAGGATGAAAACTCCTAGTATATCTGTGAGAAACTTTACAGATTTTTAACTTTAGATATTTGCAGCACTATAGAGCTTTGACAGCTACATGAAAACAAAAGTCATCCCAATGTAGGCTGTTCAAAAGCCTAATTCATGAAGTAGACAATTTATTCTGTTTAAGAAAATGTTTATTTAGGATGGTAACACAAGATAAGTCATGCAAGAGCTCAGTTTAAAAAAAAAAAAAGAATATAAGGAATGGTAACTGGTGCTGCCAATTAAAAAATATCACAAATCCTCTTATCACTCAACAGTGATATAAAAACCCACTCGATTCTGGGTGTAGACATGGTTGTGGTCAGCTTTTGATTTGTTTACAAAAGCAATAGGTTAAGTATCATGTTCCATTCCTCAGAGGAGTGGAGTCCTGTACCCAGCAGGATCCATCATTACAGCCCCTCCCAGGGGATCCTGGAAGAGTCCCAAGCTGATGCAGACCCCTGTGGTGACTCTCAACTCCATCTCTTTTCGGAACTTTAAAATTCTGGTAATGAAAACCGAGTTGCAAGCCATATGCACCAACCTCAAATGTAGTGTGTCTTCCATGGAAGGATTTCCACAGCAAGTGGGAATAATTTTGGACTAATGGACCCAACTAAACATAAGATCTCAGATTCCCAACAAATATAGCTCATCATTTTGGCAAAAAATAAAAATAAAAATAAATATAGTGGGATGCGAATTTGGTTTGAATATATAATCTACCAGCTGTCAAGGGGGTACAATTTCATTGCAGACAGAATCAACAATTTCAATGACTTTTTTTTAAAATAAAAAAAGCTTTCCTCACAAAATCATCACTTTTGGAACTATCCCAATTAAGCTACACACTGAATTTATTAATACAGAGTTTCTTTGTGTAAAAAAATCTTTGTACATAGTAATAAAAAAAGATAAGGCAAGATGCATTAAACAGAAACATCTGCTTGTTGTCCTCCATGTCCTCACAGAGCCACCGGTGACTGTGTGCAACCAAAGAGTGAAGTTTCTGCTTTTCCGCATCAAGCGTCTCGTGCCTTTGCTATGGTACGAATTCTGTCCGAGCACCCTGAAGGACAGAGGCTGATGATGTGCTTTGGCACTTACGCTGGCAAACTCAGCTTCTTTCCCTTGAGCACTAGAAGACAGAAACAAAAGGTTATTCTTCTCCTTCCTGCTCATAGCATCTTGCAAACATAAGACTCTACCAAGCAGAAGGAAGTAAGCAATTGCTTTTAAAAATTAGAAATCACATCAAATTCAAAAACTGGTCTTTTTTTCTGATTTGGGTTCACTGGCCATGGCTGGCTTTACACTCTTGATTCTACCTCAGCCTCCCTAGTGTTGGAATTACAGAGGGCAACTATTATGCCCAACCACAGCTGTACTGTGTAAATAAGGAGTAATATCATAAACATTCCCGTAATCAACATATAAAATATGACTTATGGAGGAGTCTCTTGAAATTTTGGACATTAAAAAAGAGATGACATTTACGTTCTTTTATTAAGCAGGTTCACCATTAGAAATGCCAGTATCTATTGATAGCAGGGACTTAAGTCTAGATCTGTGGTTAGGCTGAATTCCTCACTAATGTCCGCATGAATCTGTAGACCTATGCATAAATAAATACACACCTTTTTCTAAGCAAGGACCATAGCTTTTATCATGTTTTTAACAGCCAAATTCATACAAAAATATGATTGTAAATACTGGGTTTTAAGCCGGGTGCCGGTGGCTCACGCCTATAATCCTAGCTACTCAGGAGGCTGAGAAAAAGCCAGCCCGGGCAGGAGAGACCGTGAGACTCTTATCTCCAATAAACCACTAGAAAACGCGAAGTGGCGCTGTAGCTCAAGTGGTAGAGCGCTCGCCTTGAGCTGAAGAGCTGAGGGACAGCGCCCAGACCCAGAGTTCAAGCCCCACAACTGCCAAAAATAAATAAATAAATAAATAAAAAATACTGGGTTTTAATAGCAGCAAACCAGTTAAGGTACTAACAGGCCAGGTAAGCAAATGACAGTGCATAAAACACATAGCGAAAGACACTATAATTCCTGTTGTTGGACATGAAAAATATGAGGGAAAAGCAGATTCTAGCCCAGCACTAGTTTGCCTTGTGCCATGTTTGGAATTGTACTGAACACTCCTGGTATTCTTTCTATGAAGGAGAATTAAGATGATTGTCTTGAAAATCATTAGCTCTGATCGAAACTTTTACAATGAAAATAGACATTTTAGGAAAACAATAAAGCTACAGCACAAGAAAAAAAAGTCCCTATATTTAAAAAGGCTGCAAACCCTGATGTAGGTTTTTTTTTTTTGGTCAGTTGTGGGGCCTGAACTCTGGGCCTGGGCACTGTCCCTCAGCTCTTCCGCTCAAGGCTAGTGCTCTACCACCTGAGTCACAGCCCCACTTCTGGCTTTTTCTGCTTACGTGGTGCTGAGGAATTGAACCCAGGGCCTTATGCATCCAAGGCAAGCACTCTACCACTGAGCCATCTTTCCCAGCCCATGATGTAGAATTTTATTTAGTAATCATTCAGATGTTTTTCCTAAAGGATTGGGGGCATAGTTTAGTGCTTGCCTACCACGTGCAAAACCAGGGTTTGATCTCCAGCATGGCAGTTCTTTCTGTGAGAGCATGCCTGGTTAGTCATGCTGGGCAAGGGAGCCAGGCTGAGCACATGTGCAGGAACCAACATACCTTTTGTAATGTACAAGTAGAAGAAGTCGCAGTACAGAATGGTCTGGACCACGCCAGCGACCACAGCAATGAGGTCAAAGAAGCCCTCAAAGTAGAAGCGCCAGATCCAGTTGACTAGATACAAAGCCCGATAGAGGCCCAGGAAGAACAGGTAGTGGGTGGTGATGGTCTCTGCCTCCCCTGTCTTGCTGATCATGAAGAGCTGTGGAAGAATGGCCACCGACTCAAGGTAGATGGAGAAGGTCCACAGAATCTAGAAGACAAACAGCAAGCATCAGTAAGGACCCAGTGCCCACCAGTTCAGGGGGAAATCCTCCAGAGTCCAGGGTGTGGGCATCTTGGTATGAACTGAGTAGCTTGGCACTGCATTATCCCAGATGACTGAGAACATGTCACAGGCAGGGCACTGACAGCCCCATCTCTCCCATTCCCTCTCTCATGGTGGTACTAGGGGTTGAACTAAGAGCCTTATGCTCTCCCTTAAGATTTTTCACTCAAGGCTGGAACACTACCACTTGAACCACACCCCCACCTTACAGTTTTTTTTGCTAGTTTTATGGAAATAAGAGTCTCTGGAATAAGTCTGCCCAGACTGGCTTCAAATCTCAATCCTCCAATCTTAGCCCCATGAGCCACTGGAACCTAGCTTCAATTCTGCTTTCTATGGGGCTGACAGCAGGGGTTATAGTTCTCTCCATCTCAGAACAGATTTTCCTTACCAACTCATCTCCTTTCCAGGCTCTAACTGTTCTACTGCAGAAGGTCTTCACTCAACTAATAACTTTCTACCATGATGATGGTATTGGAAAAATCATCAGTATTACACATTCTGTTTGAGCCATACTTGCAACTTCACTATTTTCCTGGTCTAGAGACAAGCACTACAATACTCTTACCACTACATGATATTGGGCAGCAGGGAGCTGCAGATTTGTGAGTCAGAACACCCTGAGGGTAACCACCAATATTCTACTGTGTTCTGCACTGCTAAGCTATGATGCTTGGTAGATCAGGCATATTAAGCGCTTTTTCAGCTTACAATATTTTCATTTATCAGGCCATAAGCCCTAAGTCAAGGAGCACCTGTATTTTTCTTATGCTTTAAGATTTTTTGGTGTGGTTAACTCAAAGGGGTCAGAAAGAGTGGTAAAGTACAACTAACCCATACCCACCAGCACCAATCCAATAACCTAGAGCAGAGCACAAATTTCTTAGCCCCTGAGAATGGGGAAGAAGGCACTAGGCAGCAGCTCACTGTACAGGGCCAGAGACTCTGCATTCCTGCTCCCAAAAGTGAGGAGGCACCAGACACAATACCAATGCATGTCAGCGTACGTGGAGGAAAGACAAAGGCTAGGCAGAATGGGGAGAAGACTGAGTTTTCCAGACACTAGGGAAGACAGGGCTCTGTGTCTGTATCACAAAAATACAGGGCTTATGTCACTCACTGGAGCATTTGCTTGCCTAGCACATTCAAGGCCTTAAGTGATCCCCAGCACCAAGAAAGAAAAAGAAGGAAAGAAATAAGTGATTAATATCCTGCCCATGAAATTGTAACCCTTCTGTACAGTATTTTCACAATAAAAAAAAAAAAACTAATATGACAGTCAAAAAAAAAAAAAAAGAAAGAAAGAAGTGATTAAATACAGATCCGAGTTTATTTATTAATTTTTTGCTGGTCCTGGAGCTTTAACTCAGGGACTGGGCACTGTCTTTACTTAGCTTTTTTTTACCTTTTTTTTTTGGGGGGGGAGGTCCGGTCGTGGGGCCTGAACTCAGGGCCTGGGCGCTGTCCCTCAGCTCTTCAGCACAAGGCTAGTGCTCTACCACTTGAGCCACAGCGCCACTTCTGGCTTTTTTCTTTTTGCTTAAGTGGTGCTGAGGAATCCAACCCAGGGCCTCATGCATGCAAGGCAAGCGCTCTACCACTGAGCCACCTTCCCAGCCCTGGGCACTGTCTTTGAGCCTCTCTGTTCCCTATGCTAGCGCTCTACCACTAGAGCCACAGCGCCACTTGTGACTTATTCTGTTTATGTGGTACTGAGGAATCAAACCCAGGGCTTCATGCATGCTAGGCAAGCACTCTATCACTAAGCCACATTCCCACCCCGAGTTTATATTCTTTTTATTTATTTATTTATTTTTTTGGGTCCGGTAGTGGGGCCTGAACTCTGGGCCTGGGTGCTGTTCCTCAGCTCTTCAGCTCAAGGCTAATGCTCTACCACTTGAGCCACAGCACCACTTCTGGCTTTTTTCTTTTTGCTTATGTGGTGCTGAGGAATCGAACCCAGGGCCTCAGAGGCATGCAAGGCAAGTGCTCTACCACTGAGCCATCTTCCTAGCCCCGAGTTTATATTCTTAAGGATTAGTATCAGCAGATACCTCCTTCTTCCCCCCAAACCCCCAAAACCTTGGGTGCTTTAATTGCTGTCTATAATTTATTTATACCAAAGGGTGCATGCTGCATGGGAAGTATTGTCAAGTTGGAAAATAAAAACAAAAATTTACATTATCAGCAAACAGGGAATCAGACATGACTTCTTAACTAACCTCAAGAGGAGAGAAGTCATGATTGACAAGGAATGAGAGGCCTCCCACAGGGACCACCAGAAACTCCACTCGGAAGGTGTCGTGATTGCCGTCATAAGTTGCCTTGAATTTCATGTAGATCAGGTACACCGTGGCATAGGAGCAGGCAATGTAGATAAGCTAAAAATGAGAGAACAATGTCCAGATTAGCAATACACAACAAGAGTCATCACTCTCTCAGCTTTCTATAACACCCATCTACTCAGCATTTGGGGGGGGGGGTTGTACTTTATTTATTTTTAAATAGTTTTTTTGGGGTCCGGTCATGGGGCCTGAACTCTGGGCCTGGGAACTGTCCCTCAGCTCTTCAGCTCAAGGCTAGAGCTCTACCACTTGAGGCAAAGCACCACTTCCGGCTTTTTTCTTTTTTGCTTATGTGGTGCTGAGGAATCAAACCCAGGGCCTCATGCATGCAAGGCAAGTGCTCTACCACTGAGCCACCTTCCCAGCCCCAAAGGGGGGTTGTATTTTAATATTTAAACATGGTCAAATTCTTTTCTTTTTTCTTTTTCTTTTTTTGTGCCAGTCCTAGGTCTTGAACTCAGGACCTGGGCACTGTTCCTGAGCTGCTTTTGCTCAAGGCTAGCACTTGAGCTATAGTGCTACTTCCAGCTTTTTCTGTTTATGTGGTACTGATGAACCAAACCCAGGGCTTCATGAATGCTAGGCAAGCACTCTACCACTAAGTCCCAGCCCCATAGTCAAATTCTTTTGGGAGGTGTTCAACTTATAGTACCACCCCCCAATTTATGGCAAAGAAACTCAGCACCTTAAGCCCTGCTCGACTTTTTCCCATGCGTGGAGCTCTACCACTTCTGGATTTTTGCTGGTTAAACTGGACGTGAGAGTCTCATGGGCTTTCCTGCTTGGGCTGGCTTTGAACCATGATCCTAGATCTCAGCCTCAGGAGTAGCTAGGATTACAAGCATGAGCCACCAGCTTGATTTTTTTGAAAGTCATGGAACTTCAACTTGGGGCCTGTATGCTATCCCTGAGCTATATCACTCAAGGTTAGCATTCTACCACTTTGTACCACGGCTCCATTTTTAGTTTTCTGGTGGTTCATTGGAGATAAAGAGTCTCATGGACTTTCCTGCTTAACTGGCTTCAAACCATGATCCTCAGATCTCAGCTTCCTGAGTAGCTAAGATTACAAGCATGAGCCACCACAGCCTGGCAGTGATTATCTTTTAATTTATGTTACTCTATCACTACATACCTAGATCGTTGATAGAAATTCTGTCATCACAATAAAAGCCCTGAAGGTTAGAAATTATTTGGAAAAACCTGCTGCCTCCAAGGGAAAATTCTGTGTATACAGCATCTTGGCTATTCAAAGGCCCCGAAGTAAGGTTTGTTTTCTTTCATCTTCCAGAAGTCAGATGTTATGCCCCCTACCTACCCACCCCAAGTTAAGCTGGGTGTAACTTGTAACAGTGTATACCATAAACTCTGACACTGTGAAAATATGTCAATTTCAAACCACCTATATTTAGGCTCAAGAATCAAACCAGCAAGGTCACCAAATTTAAGAACCAATTTTCACATCAACCAAAACATAAGCCCAAGAATCAAATAGCTGTCTCTGTTCAATCAAATGAGAAGAAATGACTAGGATAGGGACCACACCATCTGGTGTTACTTCTTAGGATGTACAACTTGAGAAACTTAATTAGGAAAACATTTGAGCAAATGACTTAATAGGTAAATAAAGACAGTCAAGCACTTACATGATTAATAAAAAAAATCCACAAAGAAACTAGATAAGGATCAGGGCAGCTAAAGCCTCACTTGAGTGGCTGTGGTCAATGGGGTTTAGCCCACTGGGGCCTCAGCAACCACTAAAGAACAGCTATATCCTAACCCCTAGTGCTCAGCAGATAAAAACTACATGGCTCTCACTCCACTGACTTTCAGGGCTGGGAAGGTGGCTCAGTCGTAGAGTGCTTGCCTTGCACGCATGTGGCCCTGGGTTCGATTCCTCAGCACCACATACACAGAAAAAGCCAGATGTGGTGCTATGGCTCAAGTGGTAGAACGCTAGCTTTGAGCTGAAGAGCTGAGGGACAGCACCCAGGCCCAGAGTTCAGTCTCCATGACTGGAAAAAAAAGAAACTACAACCAAGCAGCTGAGCATAACATGTTACAGTGCACACCAGCAATCCCAGCCACACGGAAGGCACAAAGTAGTATGTGCTACAGTATGTGCTTCAGTGGTAACCTAAGCAAAAAGTTAGCAAGAACTCCACCTCAAAAAAAAAATGTGCATGGGCTGGGAAGGTGGCTCAGTGGTAGAGTGCTTGCCTTGCATGCATGAGGCCCTGGGTTCAATTCCTAAGCACCACATAAGCAGAAAAAGCCACAAGTGGCGCTGTGGCTCAAGTGGTAGAGTGCTAGCCTTGAGCTGAAGAGCTGAGGGACAGCGCCCAGGCCCAGAGTTCAGGCCCCATGACTGGCAAAAAGAAAAAAAACTGTGCATGGTGACACATGGCTGTATTCCTAGCTAGGTGGGAGATAGAAGTAGGTGAATTAGGTGTGGTGGGCCAAAAAAACAACATAAAACCCTACACTGCAGCAAAAAATACTGGACACATGGCTCAAATGATAGAGTGCTAACCTTGAGCAAAAAAGCTCAGGGATAGTGTCCAGGCCCAGAATTCAAGTCCTGGGACTAGCACACACACATACACACAAAAATTGAAGACAAGTAATTAGGCTATCACCTAGAATAATTATAGATGACCCAAACTTGCTTTTTGGTAGACCCAAATATTGCTTTGTCTTAACATGTATTTATAAAAAATGTTTTTGAACACTAAGTGTTGGTGTCACCTGTTTAAATGCCCACTAATAGGCATGAGCTTATTACTTCACTGGATACATCAAAATTAGGTTATCAGACTGCATGGGAGGCAGGCACTCAGAACTTGTAGAATATGAAGGAAATCAAACCCTAGTAGGCATCTCACGAGCCCGTCCACTTTCCCTTCAGAGGCCCCCTTGCCAAATGAAGTTGGTGACTAGTGCTGTGATGATCTTTCTACAAGGCTCCTGCTTGCATAATGTGGGTTTCATGACCAGCAAAAGCTGATGCTCACTCAGGCCCATGCTTGCTGAGTGTGGAGTGGCCCCACTCGTGCTAGGCACCCATTAGGAAGCATGCAAATTAAAAAAAAATTTTTTTTTTTGTCAATTGTAGGGCTTGAACTCAGGCCTATGTTCTGTCCCTGAGCTGTTCTGCTCAAGGATAGCACTCTGTTCTTTTTTTTTTTTTGAGGGGTGCGGGGTCCAGTCGTGGGGCCTGAACTCTGGGCCTGGGTGCTGTCCCTCAGCTCTTCAGCTCAAGGCTAGCACTCTACCACCTGAGCCACAGCACCACTTCTGGCTTTTTTTCTTTTTGCTTATGTGGTGCTGAGGAATCGAACCCAGGGCCTCATGCATGCAAGGCAAGCGCTCTACCACTGAGCCACCTTCCCAGCTCAAGGCTCTAGTGCCAGTTTTCTGGTGGTTAATTGCAGATAAGACTTTCCTACCTGGACAGGCTTTGATCTGTGATCTTCAAATCTCAGTCTCCTGAGAAGCTAGGATTACAGGCCTGAGCCTGAATATTTTCTATTTTGAGAGCTAATAGTTTGCTTCGATATGAATTAGAAGAAAGCAAGGACAACAAAAGTTTCATAGTGCTTAGGGCATATTAAAGGTTTAAAAATGTATTAAGTAAGCCAGGTGCCAGTGTCCTAGCTATTCAGGTGGCTCAGATATGAGGATCAAGGATCAAAGCCAGCCCAGTCAGGAAAGGCTGTGATACTCTTATCTCCAATTAACTACCAGAAAACCACAAGTGGCACTGTGGCTCATGTGGTAGAGCACTAGCCGTGAGTTGAAGAGTTTAGAGAAAGCACTCAGGCCCAGAGTTCAAGTCCCATAACCCCCTCCCCCAAAAAATTACACACACACACACACACACACAAAGTAACTTAGGGTCCAGATGTTATTTAAGCACAATTAATGACAGCAGATACACAGAAGACATCTAAGGAATGCACTTGTGGCTCAAGTGGTAAAGTGCCTGACTAGCAAGTGTGAAGCCCTAAGATTCCTATGCTGGGTGAAAAAAAAAGCCTTAAAAAACTAAGTGGAAACAGGGAAGCAGCAGCAGCCTACGCTACAGTGCCTCACACATTGCAAAATGAGACACTGCACCTTTTATTTCTTGTTATATACTCACCGTCCTAGGAGGTCTGTAATTCCCCACTGTTCCACTGTCATCCCTCTTTCTTACTGGGTTATCAGGAGCTTTAAAAGATGTATCATACTTAAGGAACTTCAAGCTTAATGTCTCTTAAGCCCAAAGTACTTTCTGAAACGGAGTAATTATTCCCAGCCATGCATACAGGGGGGCCTAAAAAGTTTTAGGAATAGCACACAGCCTACATACATTAGTAGTTTCTATAGGTTTCCATTTCTGTTTACCATTACCATACCTTCATAGATGTATTATATAACGAAATAAATGAAGTAAAAAGATCCAGGTAACGAGTTGTGAAGACCAGTGCAAACAGAAGCTGGCTTTTCCCAGAAATACCTAAAGAAACAGAAAAAAAGTGTTAGAAAAGCCTGGAGAGCTTTATGACTGACCCCCACCATCATAACACAGAAATGCAGATGGGGAAATGGGTATGTGAGGGTTCAAGGCCCAGATGTGGAGGCAACTGTAGTGAACATGAGCAGTTTCTGGTTTTCTTTCATTTATTTTGTAACTGTTCCTTCTGGGAGGAACTATTCACTAGGAAAGTGACATCATCATAGGCATCCACCTTACCAGCACAGGTATCCTACTGTGAGCGTTATACTTCTCAAATGTTTCCTCTTAAGTAGGGATCAATTTTTCAGTAACTGTGCTCATTAGTGTTAAAACTTGCCTTTACCTCCAGGTCTTCCTTTCCATGTTCAAACAGTACCTCCTAAGCAAGGAATATGGCTCAGTAGTGGAGTGCTTGCCTAGCATGAATGCAGACCTGGGCTCAGTTTCCAGCACCATCAATACAACATAAATCCCAGTTTCTCCAAAGTCACCAATCTTTTGATGATGGAGTCCCAAGTTACTCTGATATGGGGACAAGGAGTCAGCTGAGGATACTAGCTTAGGTAGGGTCTGAGTAGAAGAACCTCATCTTCTGGAATAAAGGCATGACCTCCCAAAATGACTAGTATATGCCACATGAGCTTGGCATTTCTGGGGTATATTAAGATCTTTAAAAACTCTCTTTTGGATCCACCATGCAGCATGATTGTTTTTTAAACAGTATATAGCTCAGGCTGGACTTGTGGAGGACATTTGTCTTTGGTAGTACTGGGGGCTAAACACAGGGCCTCCACCTGCAAAGCTGGTAATATACCAGTTGAGCTATCCCCCCAGGCTCTGGCCGTGAACTTTTGATCCTCCTGCCTCTATCTCTCTAGCTCTGGGATTATAGCAGTGAACCACCACGCTCATTAGCATCATTACACATTTTAGTAAGTGTGTATTGCACAAGAATGTCTACATTGGGGGCTGGGAAGGTGGCTCAGTGGTAGAACGCTTGCCTTGCATGCCTGAGGCCCTGGGTTCGATTCCTCAGCACCACATAAGCAAAAAGAAAAAAAAAAAAAGCCGAAGTGGCGCTGTGGCTCAAGTGGTAGAGTGCTAGCCTTGAGCTGAAGAGCTGAGGGACAGCGCCCAGGCCCAGAGTTCAGGCCCCACAACCGGACCCCGGACCCCCCCCCCCCCCAAAAAAAAAGAAAGAAAAAAAAGAATGTCTACATTGAAGTCATTTACAACACTGTGGAACATGAAAGTGATATTGTTTTTTAATGACGTTACAATTATTTTGCTGCTTGCTGAAATCAAGAACCTGAATGAAAAAATGTCATTTTTCTAGGTCTGCAGAATTAAAGTTCCAGTCTACTCACAGACACTCAAATAGAAAGGAGGAAAAGTTGAATTTCCTTCCAAATTCATTGACAGAAGCCAATTTTGAGGGTCAAAGAAAGAGATTGGGGCAGTTTAGATGAAAGACTCAACATGAGCAAATTAGTCTTCCGTGGTAATGGAGAACTTTTTCCTATCAGGGATCAATGTTCCAAAGGAAGAACCAAAGAATGGATGCTGAAAGGTGAAGAACACAAGCCCAGAAAGACATGGGAGCAGAAGGCTCATACTGCAGGTTTGCTGACATCTTGAGAGATTTCCAATTGGTTTGCTGTATGGTTCCTTCCAATATTTTATTAAAAACTTAAAGGATATGGACGAGCAAAACTTGAAGAGCTTATTCTAGTGGCGTTTTGGGTTTTGTCCTATTTTTAGCATTCCTTTAGTAAAAAACAAGAACTATGATACCTCTGAACAATGTCTTTGACCTCTGGGAGGTCACCTCTACACACCTTCTCCTCATGCAGTGGACTCGTACAGCACCCACAGCATGGAACTTGCATCATGCTGGCATCTGCCCTAGCTTCTCTTACACACTTGTATAGACACACTGTGATAATCTGGATCCTGCCCTAAAGCAAGGTCATGCCTGACTCCACTTTGTTTTCCCTATGCTAGGCACTGGGTTTCACACACACAAAGCAAGGACCAGAAGACATTTGCTGAATAAATGAATAACACATGGACAAAAGAAAATGAAATTCGGGGCTGGGAAGGTGGCTCAGTGGTAGAGCGCTTGCCTTGCATGCCTGAAGCCCTGGGTTCGATTCCTCAGCACCACAAAAGAAAAAAGAAAAAAGCCGGAAGTGGCGCTGTGGCTCAAGTGGTAGAGTGCTAGCCTTGAGCTGAAGAGCTGGGGGACAGTGCCCAGGCCCAGAGTTCAGGCCCCACGACTGGACCCAAAAAAAAAAAAAAAAGTAAATGAAATTCAAACTGGGCGCTGGTGGCTCACGCCTATCATCCTAGCTATTCAGGAGGCTGAGATCCGAGGATCGCAGTTCAAAGCCAGCCTGAGCAGGAAAGACTGTGAGACTCCTATCTCCAAAAACCACTAGGAAACCGGAAGTGGCGCTGTAGCTCAAGTTGTAGAGCGCTCAACTTGGGCTGAAGAGCTGAGGGACAGCACCCAGGCCCAGAGTTCAAGCCCCACAACCAACAAAAAAAAAAAAAAGAAAAGAAAAAAAAAGAAAAAGAAAAAGAAATCCATCTTAGCTTCATGTCATGGGACAAATTCTCATTGCATGGTATTTTGAGAGAACACTTTGAAGAATTAAAATCCAATGGTGTCTCTATTACTATGAAGACAAAATGCTCTGGGCTCTACCAGCTAGAGGGTGGAATCTCCCTTTGCCCAAGCAAGCAGAGTAGAGGAGAGTTCAGGAAGCAAGTACTTCTTGATATAGAATCAGTATGCTGGAACCTGACTAGCAAGGAGCAGCCTTTCCCTATGAATCTGTAAAGTTGTCAGTCCTCACAGGAAAGCAGGCTCCCAACTCAAGACAGGAGGAGAGGAGGTAGCAATCTCTAGGAAGGATGGTATAGAGTATCTGCTACTAAGTCAGTAATCTATCTATTTGTCTGTCTTTCTATCTACCTACCTATCTACCTGCTGTGAAACACTGTATAGCCATTAAAAAGATTTGAGCCACTTGCCCATGTAATTGTAATCCCTCTGTATGGTATTTTCACAATAAAAAATAAATAAAAAAAGATTTGAGCCAGAGTTAGGTGTGTTAACATCAGGAAAAGATGAATCTGAGATGGAAATCCACTTGTGCCAAAGATAAAACCCAGGGACACACACATGCTAGGCAAGTTCTCTACCACCAAGCTATACTTCGAACAATACTAATCTGCTTTTAGACTTAAAAAAAAACATGTCAAGACTATCAGGTAACAAGTGCTCAACAGAATACCCATAAACATTTCAGATACTGACATCCCAATACCAAATGCCCAAACATCTACAGTAATTTGTCAAATGGAAGTCATTCATTAAAGGTAATATCACTCTTCTGATTCCACATAACCAAGAAGAATTTATAAAAGTCCACAGCTATCAGGCTGGGAAGGTGGCTCAGTGGTAGAAGGCTTGCCTTTCATGTATGAGTCCCTGGGTTCAATTCCTCAGCACTACATAAGCAGAAAAGGCCGGAAGTGGTGCTGTGGCTCAAATGGTAAAGCACTTGCGCTGAGCTGAAGAGCTCAGGGACAGCGCCCAGGCCCAGAGTTCAGGTCCCATGACCGAACCAAAAAAAAAAAGTCCCCATCTATATACTTCGGTGCAGGGTAAAAGTTCTGTTACAGCTTTAAAAAGTTGCCTTTTTAGGGCACGTGTGTGGTAACTTCTGTAAAAAGACCCTTGCCAGGTACTGGTGATTCACACCCTTAACCTGAGCTGTGCAGGAGGCAGGGGTAGGACTGTAGATCCTATCTGAAAGCTAACTAAAGCAAAAGGGCTGAGAGCATAGCTCGCATGGTAGAGTGCCTGCCTAGCAAGTGCAAGGTCCCAAGTTCAGCTTCCCTTAGTATTGCTCCCCCTAATGAAAATGACTTTTCATTACCCCTCTCATTTCCATTTTGTCCCTTTTCTACATGTTTGTATGTGTTCTATGTGTTTATCTCCTAAAGTGTAGCCTACCTGTGTTTTACTACTTGTCCTCTGAATTTCCATCTCAGATTCATCTTTTCCTGATGTTAACACACCTAACTCTGGCTCAAATCTTTTTTTATTTATTTTTTATTGTGAAAATACCATACAGAGGGATTACAATTACATGGGCAAGTGGCGCAAATCTTTTTAATGGCTATACAGTGTTTCACAGCATGGATATGCCAAAACTTGAGGGACCATTTGGGTTGTTTCTAAGTTACATTGTTATGAAGCCAGGCTTCGGTGCTTACACCTGTAATCCTAGCTACTCAGGAGGCTGAGATCTGAGGATTATGGTTCAAAGCCAGCTCCGGCAGGAAAGTCCATGAAACTCTTATCTCCAATAAACCACCAGAAAACCAGAAGTAGCTCTGTAGCTCAAGTGGTAGAGTGCTAGCCTTGAGCTGAAGAGCTGAGGGACAGCGCTCAGGCCCAGAGTTCAAGCCCCATGACTGACAAAAATAAATAAATCTTGCACGAACATCTCTGTATCTAAACAGTGTTTTGCATGTTTTTAGGTACAATGAACACTTTATGTCATTTGGTTCACACCATAACAACTGCTATAGTTCAGAGTCTTTAGAATTACTGGGGCAAAAGACATTTTAAACTTCAGTAAACACTGTTAAATCCCTCTTAGGAAGACTATGCCAATTCACATTCCCACTGCCCCAAGATGGGACTGTCCTTTTCTTGTGTACACGTTAGAGGTTTGTATACCTTTTACTTTTTCCTTCCTGGTGGGAAAGTAACAGTCCGTACTGCCATTTTAACATCCAAGTCCTGAAGTTCTAGTACAGCTTGAGCATTGTTTCATGCCTACCTTCTCTCTCTCTCTCTCTTTTTTTTTTTTTTGCCAGTCCTGGAGCTTGAACACAGGGCTTAGGCACTGTCCCTGGGCTTCTTTTGCTCAAGGCTAGCACTCTATCACATGAGCCACAGCACCACTTCTGGCTTTTTC